TGCGGGTGGGCGTAGCCTACCATCCCATGCGGTTGTCCAACCAGCAGCCTTGTTGTTAGGAGCATGTGCTCTCACCAGCTGAACTATTCTGCCACCTGTTGGCAGGTCAGCAGCAGCTCAGCTTGGGTGCAGCTCACTGGCCTATGTGGGAATCGAATCAACCCTGTTGCTCAGAGCTCACGCTCTTAACCAACTGAGCCACTCGGCCGGCCCTATTTTATTTCCTTAAGAAAATGTTTTTTAATTTTAATTATTTTCCAATTACAGTTGATGTACACTATTATATTAGTTTCATGTATACAGCATTGTGATTAGATATTTATATACCTTACAAAGTGATTGCCCTGATAAGTCTAGTACCCACCTGGCGCCATACATAATTACAATATTATTGACTATATTTCCTATGCTGTACTTTACATCCCCATGACCATTTTTATAACTGACAATTTGTACTTCTTAATTCCTTTCATCTTTTCTGTCTCTTTCCCCAAACTCTCCTCCCATTTGGCGACCATTAAGTTGTTCTCTGTGTCTGTGAGTTTGTTCCTGTTTCGTTAGTTCCTTTATTTAGTTTTCTACATTCCGCATATAAGTTAAATCATATGGCATTTGTCTTATTCTGAAATATTTCACTGAGCAGAATACCCTCTAGGTCCATCCATGTTGTCACAAATGGCAAGATTTAAATACTTTTTTACGACTGTGTAAAATTTCGTTGTATATATGGACCACATCTTCTTTATCCAATTGTTTATTCATTGCATAAAGAAGCACTTAGTTTATTTTTATATCTTGGCTGTTGTAAATAACTGTAATGAACATAGGAGTACATATATCTTTTCAAATTAGTGTTTTGGTTTCTTCAGATAAATACCCCCAGATGGAATTGCTGGGTCACCAGGTAGTTCTATTTTTAATTTTTTGAGGAACCTCCATACTGTTTTCCATAGTGGCTGTACCCATTGACAATCCCACCAGCAGTGCACGAGGGTTCATATTTCTCTACATGCTCTCTAAAATTTGTTGCCTTTTTGATGATAGCCATTCTGATAGGTGTGAGGTGATATCTCATTGTGGTTTTGATTTGTATTTCTCTGATGATAAATGATGTTGAGCATCTTTTCATGTATCTTTTGGATATATGTATGTCCTCTATGGAGAAATCTCTATTCGGGTCCTCTGCCCATTTTTAAATTGGATTATTTGTATTTTTGTTTGTTTTTTTGGTGTTAAGTTGTAAGAGTTCCTTATATATTCTGGGTATTAACCCCTTATTAGATGTATTGTTGGTTCAATATCTGCAAAT